TCCAGGTAGAACCCTGTCAGGGCTCTGAAGTGGAGCGGACCTCGAACAACTCTCATCAGCTGTTAGCTGTAATGTTAAACACTAGCAGGACTAAAGTTACGGTACGGCTGTGTTAAAACTATAACTTAGCACAACATCACTGCGCTGTAATAATGTTATGCTTTATAAAATGTCACATAATTAACAAAATAGCTATATAATGTCAGTCCAGCGACTGTTACCTGACAGCCGACCTGCCTCTCATTCTCCGGCGCTGGCAGTCACTCAGCCTGCCGAGGGAACGAAAGACTGAGGAGGACCCATGTGAGCGGTGAACGAGTCGTTCATTCCTGCTCCACAGTAGGAGCTGTCACGTGACAAATGAACGACTCAAACCTAGAGACCCACAGTCGTGAACTAATCAATTCTGTTTCCTGTGCTGACGGAGCCCATGCAGCTGACGTGTGACGAGTGAACGTAAGAGTCCAAGATCCTTCACGCATGCGTGAAAATGAACGAATCACTCACTGAGACAACCCGTTCCTCCCAAGTCATATACACTATTAGGTCTTATGAACGAAATGTTCTTTGAACAACACAACACTACATCATCATATGGAGACACCTCATCAGGTGTATCCAACATTAAACAACATGGAACAAACTGGAGCCTGATACTGCTGCTGCTGCAGCATTTCCCGTGGAAGCAGAATCTGTTTTGTTCGAGTGTGCACCACATTTGGTTATCACAATCGCAGTTGGGAGCAGAACAGCGTCCAACAGGCCAGACACAAGGTTGTGGTGTGCTATGGGTTTCCCTGCAGAAGTTAGAAAATCTCTGTGACACCATAAAGCAACAAAATCATGAATTGTTGCAAATGCATAACAAGAGTCTGTGTAGATGTTAACTGTTTTGCCCTTATCCAGCTTGCAGGCTTCCGTGAGAGCCACTAGCTCTGCCGCCTGAACTGAAAAATGTGATGTGAGTGTAATGTGTGTAATTTAACACTGAACAATGTTTCATGCTGAGTGACAATTGCAAACCCCACCAAACCTCCACCAGTGTCTGGAGAGCAGGACGCCAATCCGTCCACGAACAACTGAAGATTTACATTTGCCAGAGGGATGTCCGTTAGATCTGGTCTGGGAGTGCACACCTGCTTTATGGAAACTACGCAGTCATGTGGATCCCCATCTGCTGGGGTAGGGAGGAGATTAGCAGGGTTAAGAACAGTACATCTTTTAACCGTGATGTTAGGCATGTCAAGAAGAGTAGTGTGATATCTTAACCAGCGCTGCGCCGATAAATGTGATGTCTTTTGTGTGTGTAGTATGTGTGAAACTGCATCTGGTACCATGAGTGTGAGATCACCATATCCTACAAGGTCTCGTGATGCAACCACTGCTTTTTCCGCTGCTGCTACAGCTCAGAGGCACAGTTGCAGTCCAGCAGCAACAGGGTCAAGTCTGGAGGAAAAATAACCTACAGGTCGTTGTTTTCCCCCGTGTTCTTGAGTCAGAACAGAAGTCATGTACCCGTTTTTCTCATCAACAAACTGAGTAAACGGTCGGTCAGTTTTTGGAAGTCCCAGAGCCCTTTAAATCTGTGAACGCTTCTTCAGGGAGAGGGATTTACCCTCTGCAGTGATCACGTGCCCCAGATATCTCACTTCTGTCTGGGCAATTTAAACAGACTAGCCTTGTGGCCATTATGAGCTAAATGCTTTAGCATCACAATGGTATCAAGCTTGCATGCTTTATGGGAGGAACTGCAGACCATGATGTCATCGACGTACTGCAACAAAACCGAACCATGCGGTAGATATAAACTTCGAAGACTATCACGTAGCACACTGTGAAAAACCCCAGGGGTATCGCAGTATACCCGCAGTATCCCATGGAGCAGCGCGACCATGTGTAGCTTTTCCCATTAAAGGAAAAAGCAAACCAGTACTGGCTGTCTTTGTGTACTGGTACTGAAAAAAAAATTTTCAGTACCATTTTACAACTGAAAAATGTGTGTCATCTGGCGGAATCAATGACAAAATCGTGGGTGGATTTGCCACTTCTGGTGCTCGCAGTCAGGTCTTGGACAAATCTCCATTCTGTAGGTTGACCCTTTTCCCAGATTTTATTTACTGGAAAAATGGATGTGCACACAGGGGAGTCAGAGCATGGAATGATGACTCCAGCCTGTAACAATGAATCAAAACCCGGTTTAATACCTTCAAGCACTTCTTGTTTAATTGGACATTGTTTGGAAATCTGATCTTGGGCAACCTACCAGAGGGGTGGCTCCTTGTATCAGTCCTACGTCAAGTTTGTGACGGGCCCACAACTCAGCCGGCACCTCGGACAGTTCAGCCATGTCCACCTGTGTGTGCGCAACCATGGTGCGGGAGAAACCTGTTACTGGACTTACTAACCTGAGCAGTGTATGTCAATACAGTCTTGAATACATCACCCGCTTTACTGTACAGTGTTCTCGGATCCCCTTCTGCTGTGCAGTGTAAGGAGTCATCTGGTTGAAATTCAGAAGCCTGAGTACCGTGTTGATTTACGAATATTCTCAGTTGTGGTTTGTGTGGTTGTTTCTCAAAATTTTCGATGTTGTCAACCGGACTGGTCACATGAACCATTGCGTCTGCAATATCTGATTCAGCCCAGGGACGGAAAAATAGCACCAGGCCTGCGTGCCCTGCAGCTTCCATCATTGGCATTTCCATGTTCAGTTGGTCATCCGTTTTACTCTCAGACCTCAGCGCGTATAGAGGTCGCTCTATAGGCAGTGCCCTTGGCTTCCTGTCTGTACCTCTGCAAACGGCGCCGTGTCTCTGAGGCACCTGTGTCCCGACACCTCCAGGGACCTCTCCCTCAGTCTTTGTTTCGACTTGAAGCGTTACTGGCCCTTCCGCAGCCACAACTGTTGTTGCGGCTTTGGTTTCAGTCTCTTCCGGGTTTAAAATGTGCACTCCTTGGAGCTGCTGGTTTGGATCTTGTGGTTGGTTCAAAGCTGGATTGTAGGGGGGAGGAAGCGGAGCGGAGTCCAGGTCGTGATCCAGCCGGAATGGATTAGATTGTGTTTGTGTGTTAGGAGGTATTTGTGATGTTGTTGGTGCTTGTGTGAATTGTGCCCAAAAATCCTTATTCATGCCCCCTTCGTTTTATCCTGAGAGCACTTAACCCGACCCTCTTTTTTCTGACTTTTTCTCTCCCTTGCCTCTGCTTCCTCCCTCCATTCCATGTAAGCTTTCCAGTCTGCTTTAAATGGATGATTTTTCTTTTGCTGGTTTTTCTTTTGCTGTTTTTTGGACAAGGCTGCATGTTTCTCCACCGCCATCCTTTCCTCCACCTCTATCTTCAGTTGCCACAATTGATGTAGACTAAAGCTCCCCGTTGCTGGGAACCCAAATTCAACCCACTTATCAAATTGGCCCATTGAGTTTGCATGTTTTTCAGTCATACATTTCACAATTGGTGAGGGTAATAGTGGAATGGTTTCCGACCCAGTCTTGACTTTACTCTAACACTTTCCCATTGTCTCTCTTTCTAGCTAGTCTGTACTTGGGTCCACAGCAATAGTTGGGTCCACTGAGTTCGGTTAAGTCTGAAGCTAGGCGCTGCAAACCCAACTTATCAGCCGGAAACCCCAAAAACCCTCGGACACCACAGAGAAAACCCGGACACATCTGTCCGCGGGCCCTTGATCCAGTCCCACTCTCCACCGACTTCAATTTACAAGCGGTTAGAGGGTCCTGTAAATCACTCAGGCGCAAGATATAAGACTTCACTCTGTTCAATCTCGTTCTCTTTATCTTTTCACTCAATTATCTACTAATTTCTCACCGTGTAAGTTCAGGACCGGAGCGATGACCAGGGCTCAGTTGAATGCAGCTTCTCACCCACAGGGAGGAATCCACTATCTAAGTAGGCCTCCGCACTTCACCCGAGTCCAGATAATGCGTCCTTCCCATCTGGGGTGCCAAAATTGTCGTGGAAATTATATTCCTGGTGAGAGGTTAGGCAAATAATTGAGTTACAACGAACCGTTGTCTTTGAAGAATTTATTTAACAAAAGAGAATAAACAGAGAAATACTAAAACAAAATCAGCTGGACCAGAGGTTCTGTCTCCTAAGACAGTCACTAACGTCTGGCCCAGAGCAAAGGGCTGCATGACCATTTACACAGTCTGAGCATCTATGTTTTGGGGAACAAAAGATCCTTGACTGGGACCAGTCAAGGATCTTCTGGAGAAGGAGAAGAACAGCTAGCGAGGAAAACAATCAACAATCAACCACACCACATACCTGACCTAAACCCCACACATGTGGACAGACTGGAATAACAAGAACAATAATAAAGAGGGGAACAGGTTAAAGATTTAAAACAATATATAAGACATAATAAAAGGAGAAAAATAGCACTCTTATAAGTACTTGCATAAAAGATTATAAGTGGAAGAAGAAAACAATTTTCTGCCATCACATCATGTACCGTTGGTGTTTGTTTTGTCCTCAACAATCAATAAAGCCACGTAGTGAGCCCCCTACGAGCAGGGGCCCTGGGTTGGCCGCCCCATGCACCCACGCTACCTCTGCTTATGCCGAGTCGACATGATGGCTTGTTACAACTAATTTTCAACTTCTTTTGGACCTCCTTTTGTAGCTCTGTTTCTAAGCATTATGTCATTTCTTGGCGCTCTCTCCTGCTGTACCTGGGTGTGTGGAAATCCATTTTTTGTTTATTTATACTTTCTTGTGTACTCACACTAATTCCCGGTTAGAACTTGTGTGTATATATAGTGTTTCTTAAGGCATGTATAAAAAGACCAGTAGAAGGGTTCAAACAAAAGTGCCTAAGACTGCACTATATAATAACTTCATCCTATAGCTTGAAACATTAAGATAAATATAGGTAAATATTACATTTCTGTTAATAAAATTGATTGTGAAACTCTTTAGCTGTATTAGTTGCTTAATAGTGAAGTTCTTCTTGTTTTTGTTTTGTTATATATATAAAGGTGGGTGCTTGGCTCGGGTGGTGACGGTGTCTCCTGGTCCTTTAATCCGGGTGGAGGGTCAGCCAGTCTCTATCACGTGTGATGTCAAGGACTACTCGGGACCTCCTGAGCAGGTACATTTCTTTTATAACTCCATATCACATCTGGGTGCGTGTTATCTTTCTGACAGACTGATCAGTTTTAAAGGATAAAGCTGGTGATGTTCTGTATTTTTGCTATTGTCAAAATTCTTCATAGTACCATTCAGCCTTTTCTGCACTGTTGTCCCACTTTTAGATCCCAGAGTTCCCTGCAATTAGAGAGCTGTTTAATTGTCATGAGTATGGCATTTTTAGTATTCTCTTTTGAACGTGGAGGGAGCGGCAACTGGTTCTTGAAATATTCTTACCTCAAACCTGTTGTGTTAAACATACATCAAAAGGACTGTGATGTTGGTTGCTCATGGACAGCTGACCACTGTTTGATGTCTTTTTTTGATGGAGTTTAGCCTGAAGTTGGCTCCAGGGGAAAGCTTGTAGGGTTAAATTTCTTAGCTCATCCTCTGAAGAGTGTGAAAGTCACACAATTACCTGCTTTTCGATATGGGGATGAATATTATGCCACTACAGGATTTCGAGTGGATGATGTCCAGGGAGGCGACCGGGGCGCAGAAAAAGATGATTTCCACCTTTGACACCGGGTACCCCGACCCGTTGTTTAGCAAGCGTGTCGCATCCGGTGACATCGCGGTAGAGCGGCTCCAGGATGACGAGGTGGAGCTGAAGATAGCGGAGGTGAAGTCGTCTGATGCTGGGTTCTACTGGTGTCAAACGCCGAGTACAGACTCCTCCTTCAGTGGCAACTACGAGGCTCAGGTCAAACTCACAGGTATGCTAGAGGTGTGTGTGTGTGTGTGTGTGTGTGTATTTGAGAAATGTGTCCTTTCGCCATTAACTGAGGTGGCCAGATGAGAATGGGTGAAAATCGGGATGGGGGGGCGTGGCTACTAGTACATTGAGTGTCAATGAACATTAACACACGTGAAAATCAAAACACAATGCTCAAATTCATTATTTTTGTTCATGAAGTCACCTGTCTGTTATTAGGAAAAATACAACAGTGGATATGTAGGTAAATCATGATCTTTTACTTAATTTGTAGCCTATATTTATTTTATTCATGTCACCAGTGCAGTTGCCCTGCAATGGACTGGCGACCTGTCCAGGGTGTACCCTGCCTCTTGCCCGATTGGCTCCAGCCCCTGCAACCCTAAGATAAGCGGTTGACGATAACCTGCAACCCTTGCTGGAGCAAGAGAACTATACAACGATCAGTAGGCCTATATGTTTAATGTGTAAGATTGCAAGATTGGGAGACGCAACATTAAATTTAAAGTGGTTGGAGGAAGTTCCGATAGTTCTGTCTAGCTCAAATAACTGAACATCACATCATCCTCTCATTTGTGCAGGTCCAAAAATTGATCTACAACTAGAGGCTAGTGTGTGTGTCTTTCCAACATTATTTGTTTTCCTCCATGGATTATCCATGTTTACCTCTGTCTTTAGCGGTGCGCCTATGTATTAGCTCAGCCAAAATCGATAGGCCTATTTATCACCATAAATGACTGTGGTTCAGGAGATAGAGCGGGATGCCCGTTAATCGGAAGATCAGCAGTTCAATCCCCGGCTCCTCCAGGCAGCATGTCGAAGTATCCTTGCGCAAGATACGAATTGAACCAGGCGGCTAGCGGCCAGTTGTTCCGCCAGTGTGTGAATGGTGAATGCAGATGTAGGCTTGTGTAAAAGCGCTTTGAGTGGTCAAAAAGACTAGAAAGGTGATATACAAATACGAAGCATTTACAAATGTCAAATCATTATTTATATTGTTATAAGTTTAAAGGCAGATTTTTGCTCCTGAGTGAAAGTTGAAAAAAAAACAGATGGCAATTGTGCTTTTAAACTTTTCTTTATGGTCAGAACAAACACTTAGATTTGTTAAGCAATCCCAAACAGTGGATTGCTTAACAAATCTGAGGTAGAACATTCAAAACAACAAATATGAATGAACGAAGAAGTACAATCTTTTTTCAGTCCCTTTTCCTCAACAAAATAAATATTTTATTAGATAAGAAAGTGCTAATTCATTCGTGATCCAAATGAATTACATCAAATATTTATTGAACATTTGTTATATTGTTATTGAGGAAAATTATATCGCAATCATTATTGTTTTATTGCCCAGCCCTTGCATGAGTACGTGTTCACAAACGGGCACGATCAGTTCACCAAAAACATGAGCATGATCAATGATCGACACTGTTTGAACATGTTTATGCACAACACTGTATGGGCACACTGTCTAGGCGCCTGTTTGCGCTGTAAGACTTTTGGATTTTATTTGAAGAAGACAACCAGTAGCCTACATATTTCTACCCAAGTTGTTGTTGTATGTGGATAGACAATGCATTTGCATCCATGTGGTCATGGTGTAGGCCTACCTGACCACCTCCAGAGGTGGTTTTGCTGATCGGATCACAATCTGTCCTCAATGCGTCTCAGGTGCGTTTACGCCAGGGAGGGAAATTAACACCTGCCACCAGCCAAATGCGGGTGGATTTTCCGTTTGGCGGCTAAATGTTGGAAGGTCACCCGCCACATTGCGGGGTAAATGTATTCTGCATCATATCGCCATATAATTGCTATTTTACTTTAATTGTACCAATAATGTAATGTACAGTAATACTGTACTATAATTGACCCTTCGCTAAGCCACGCCCCAAACACACAGCTGGCCAATCACAGCGCAGTATAGGACTCGCTCTAACTGAGGTCCAACACTTTCATGGCTACGCTCTATTGACTCTAATGCAAACGCTGTTCTTGGGGCACTTGTAATAATTACAGTCGCTACCCAGAGAGGTTGAAAGGAGAAGAACGATTTATTCTCTTTCCAAAACCTGAAATAAATCCAGAAAAATGTCGGCTGTGGATTGTTCCTAATGTTAGTTAGCTAACTTCCTACTGAATGTAACGTAATAAAGCCCTACTGTTCTGCTTTTTCATGAATGTAATAATGAATAGAGGCCTACCCAGCTTGACAGGAACAGTGTTGTTGTCGTTCATATCGTTGTCTTTTGTCTCAATCGTCGGGTGATGCGGTGGTTCACTTGTACTGTGTGAGTGGTAGGCTTTAGCTTCTATCTTTCATTTATTCTCGTGTGTTTGAGTCAGTTTGACAGCCTGAATACAACCTTCAAATGTGTAATGCAACTGCAAAACTGTCTGCTTCTTTCTGAGACCGCTTTTTCCAACAAATTTGACAGTGCAGTGATAGACAGTGGCAGCGCCGACAGTTTGTCGGACTTAGCAACAGTAACTAAGAAGGGCGGGGCTTAACAAAGGGTCAGTTGGCAGCAGACCGGCATTCTTGTTTGTTGTGTGTCGCACTTAAATTGGTCCCAACACACGGATTAGGGTGGTTCATTGGTATTTGTTTATAGTAATTTCATGTTACTTGTGTTTGATTAGCGTAGATTGGTGAGGGGGTGGGCCTTAGGGGACAGCAGTCGGGAGGAAAGTGGGGTGACTGAGAGTGTAGCCACTTTAATACGGAGATCAATGCAGAAAGAATATCCGCATGTGTTGCATTCGCTGAATCATACTGAACAAAAGTTTTTTGCAACATTATCCCGCAGCCTATGTGTGTGCAGACATAGCGGTCTGGCTTTACCAGAGCCAGCGGCGTGTAAAAAGACTGTTACGTGTAACCTTAACACAACACCGGCATGTTGGCTGTGGCTTTTCACACAGAGATCGTTCCGTCTCTGTCACGAACTTTCCCGGCTCAGAGGCTGATACATACAGTGCAGCGAGCTGACAGATTGGCTAAGTACCCCCGTGAAACAATGTAGCATGAAAGCTGCTAGTGTTTGGAGCACATGACAAAAGTTGTACTTGGAGTGTTTTTAGCTTTTAGCTGGCTAGCTACCAGCGTAGTGTGGCAATATTCAACGTTACCACCAAACCAACAAAATGAAAAAACGAAGCAGAGGAAGAGGAGGCTGAAGCAGAACATAAAAAATAAAGTTGGAGGTCCAGTCAGTGTCTGACACACTGTCAGATCTTCTAATGGTCCTCCTGTCCTTCCCAGATATTAAGGAGAATGATCCATAGGCTGTATAAAAATGTTGATCCCACAAAAGCTGTGATGCTGTGGCACCAGGACTCTGACAGAACCATGAGGCCAGAAGAGGGTGATTGTAGAAAGTAAGCAGGTTTAATTTGAATGATAAAGCATGATTAAGAGTGAGCAGTGATTGTGAAGTTGAAAGATTCATAAGAATCTTGTAAATTTAGAAAACAATTTACTTTTATGTCTGAAGTACATTTAATAGCAATAATATAACTTTTCTTCAAATTTCACGCTGGCCTCTTCTTTAAATTTGCATTCGACATAATACCTCCTTATTGTCTCAAGTAAAAGTACAGAAACAAATGCATATGTGAAACAAAAGGATTTATTATTTTGGCAGGTAAAAATACGTTTGGCTGGTGGATTTTTTCATCTACCAGCAACCTTGGCAGGTGAGCCAAAAAAATTTCCACCCCTGGTTTACACATGTACTGTGGTCAAGTCACATGTGGTCAAGTGCTACACGATCACAATCTGATTACCCAAAATGCAATTTAATGTCAGGTGTAAACAGCCTCTATGTTCCCCAATTTGGAATATGCACCCATGGTGAAAATAAAACTGCCAATTATGGCATTGCCTCGTTCATTGAAAGATATTTAACGTGCATCTCTTTTTTTAATCAAAGAATTTAAAAAACATTTTTGGGTCTTAAATCATATTTCTTGAGGTTTTAAAAAGTCTTTAAAAAGCATTGAATTTGACTTTGAAAATGGTGCAAGAACCCTGTTATATGAGGTGCTAAAGTTATCATGTGTGGATCTGTGGTGAGATTTCTGCCTGATCAGAAGTGTTTTCAGTTAGTTTCAGTTTCCACCTACTTGTCTCATCCAGTGCAATCTCAAATAGGGTTCAGATGGTCTGAGGAGGATACTGTCATGATCTATTGCAGAATGCTGAGGCAGATAACTGAGATGTGGACCCAAATGCAAGACACTGGAAATGCTTGTGCGGTAATGATGTTTAATCCAAAAAGAAACAGAAAAACTCAGGTCCAAACAAAAACATTAACAGAACTCCAAACACAGTATCAAAATCCACAGTGGGAGAACACGGAGACAAGCAGGGAAACACTCAGCAACGATGAGGACACGACAATGATTGAACGAAACTGACAACCATTCATAGAAGCTCACACGAGTGGGCAGGAAGAGCAACCAGGTGAGACACATAAAGGAATCAGGGCAGATCTTACACACACTTGAGCAGGCAGGGTCATTCACAGGTGACATCAGGGTAGTGATGGGGCAGTGGATAAGACACATGCCTTTGGTGTGAGAGACCCGGGTTTGAGACACCAATGTGTCCATGAGAAAGACACTTAAGCCCTAGTTACTCCAGAGGCGTGCAACCTCTGACATACAGTATAGCAATTGTAAGTCGCTTTGGATAAAAGCGTCAGCTAAAAGTATGTATGAATGAAGGACACAGGGCTCGAAACAAACACCATACAAGTTCAAACCCAGATGGAATAGTTCAAGCATGCACATACAAAACCAAACCCACACAGGAAAATTGAACTGACAAACCATGACAAAAACCCACAACAGTACACACACACACACACACACACCCACCAGTAAATACAAAAGTAATAAAAAATAAATAAATACCAAAATAAACATATTTAGTTTCATTTTATCTAACTACTTGCCTCGACCAGCATGCAACACTTTCTACAGTAAAAGTAAAAACATAAATTGTCATCAGTAGCTGTATATACAGATATACAGAATACTAGCAAAGGAAGCAACTGTAGAAGTATCTTTTAGCTAAGTACAGACACACCAAGCAAAGGGAAATTGAATTATGATCTTCTATAAGGTTTGTAATTTACAGTATTTAGACAGTTATTTTTGTCCTGAATATTGATTTTTAAAGCAAGTAAGTTGATTCAAGGCCGCCAAGTATGACGTAACGCAATAAAAGGTGGAAAACACTCCACATTGGTGTAAAAGGTAGGAAGTGTGTGTGTGTGTGTGTGTGTGTGTGTGTGTGTGTGTGTGTGTGTGTGTGTGTGTGTGGAGAGCTTGCAGTTTCTTATCTTTGTGTTCGGTGATATTCATAAATATTCATTCCTAAAATCTTTTTCACGTCAGTCATCCCCAACACCCTCAGGGTCTCCTCCCAGACCCCGCCCCCAGTCGTCCCAGAAGGAAGTGACATGACGCTCTCCTGCAACATCACCCGGCAACTCACCCACCCCACCTACCTGTCCGTCACCTGGTCGGTGAAGAAGGGAACAATGTTGGAGGAAATTTTGACATTTGGCCCTCAGGGAGATGTAGTCACAGGGCCGAAGTACGACCGGCGCTACGCCGACGGAGGCATTCGATTGGTTCCTGGGAAGGATGGATTGTTTGAATTGGTGATTTCCAGAGTGACATCGTCTGACGAAGGGATTTATGAATGCAACGGGACGGAATGGACGCATGAAAATGGCAAATGGATAAAAATCGTGGAGAGCACAAAAGAGATGGGCACTGTTGCTGTTACTCCTACAGGTAAGAAAAAGAACAGCAAAAGTATAATAGTAGTAACAGCAGAAGCAGCATCACTATCAGTGTAGCAGTAGTAAATGCAGTAATAGTAAGTTTGGGTGAAGAATTTCTCACATTTTTGGTTGAACCAAGTGTTTTCTGGCTCCGCTGGGTCGTCCTGTCTCCCGTCCTGGCCGCATTGTTGCTCTGTCGGCCCGTGCACTTGATCGTCAATCCAAAATCAATAAAAATCATGCAAAAAAAATGCATCTCAAATCATGCAAAAATATAAAACATCCAATCATAAGACCCAATAATACCCAAATAAAATATACTGAAGATAGATCAATGTAAGATGAAAACCACATGATATGTTAAAAAGTGCACACAATTAGGATAAATTATTATAAAACTGTTTTAAAAGAGAAGTACAAGTACTACAAATGTAGGCGCCAGGTTTGACAAGGAGGAAGAATGCTTGGAACAAAAGACAAAAAGATGATTTCTCTGTTTCTGCTGCAGCAATTTTACTAATTAGGGTTCATACCGCGTAGCGGTAGAACCCGATTGTTTTTGTGTGTTTTAGTTATTATTATTATTATTTGTTGTTGTCTGCCGCACTGGCTAAATCCCGTGAGCAGGAATGAGCTAGAAACATGAAACTTGGGGGAATAACTGGAAATTGTGTGCATCAGCTTCCTTTTCACACAGGTGCAGCTCAATGTGCTCTACAAAAAAGCCTCAAGGACTATTAAGGTCCGCCTAGTCCGCTATTTTGAAATGCCAATTTTTTGAAAATCACATTTTTGACATCTCCTCCTAGACCGTAGCTCCGATTGCCACCAAATTTTCAGTGAATCATCATTGGATCAAGCCTATTAAACTTTTTATAAAGCATGTCGATATCTCAATTACCTTTCAAGATATGGACCAATGAACTTTGAATGGGGCGTGGCTCTGGACATGAATGACCACAAATCAACAACCATAGGGCCAATCATCACAAAACTCACAGGATATGTTCAGATAGGTGCCCCGGATATACCTGGACATACGTCCCTAGGGGGCGCTACAAGTGCAAGACAGGTGCTTAGCATTACACAAATTACACTATAAATCCCATATTCATTCTCCAATCATCACAAATCTCTCAGGATATGTCCTCATAAGTAACTGAGACATGCCCTGAAAGTTTCATACAAATCAAACACCCAAGGGCGCTATAAATGCAAACAAACTGCAGGGGATAAAACGCAAAACAGGCAACAAAATGCATATTGTTTGTCCAATCAACACAAAACTTGCAGGATATGTCTACATCAGCACCTCACACATAACCTGAAAGTCTCATTCAAATTGACCACTAGGGGGCGCTATAAATGCATCGTAACTGGATGTGGAATGACACAAATCAAGCTATAGATCAGAAAATTGTTGTCCAGTTGTTACAAAACTTGCAGGATGTGTTTAATAACAATGTTGAACCGTATGTGTGAAATAATTTTGATGGTGATATTGCGAAAAAAGGTATGAACCCACGAATCGCCGCTTGCGGCTATATTGTTATTTTTGTTGTTGTTATTGTTTTTTTGCTGTCCCACAGCTAGGTCTGTGGAGTGACACAGACGTGAGCTAATTTGGCACACATGAAATGATGCTAATTTGTGAACACGTACAGGGTGAAAAAAAACAGGACTCAAGTTGTCACCCACAGCTATCTATCTGACTCCATAGAAACATAAAACTTAATATTTACATCTTCCAAAGCCCTCAAATTATGGGAACTGTAATTCTAAAACTCCACACAAAAAAAACCTTGATGCACGTCTGAAGTTTGTTAAAGACCTCCTGGACGTTCCACAGCACTACTGGCAAAATATTCTGTGAACAGATGGAACCAAAGTTGAGTTGTTTGTAAGGAACGCACAACAACATCAAAACCTCATTCCAACTGTGAAGTAGGGTGGAGGGGGAATTGCTGCCTCAGGACCTGGAAGGTTTGCTATCACTGACAGAAAATTAATGCCAAAGTTTATCAAGAAATTTTGCAGGAAAATGTAAGGCCATCTGTCCGCCAATTGAAGCTCATCAGAAGATGGGTGATGCAACAGGACAATGACTCAAAGCACAGAAGTAACGGAATGGCTTCCACAGAAGAAAATACACCTTCAGGATTGGAAGACTCCTGACCTCAACCCAATTGAGATGCTGTGGCATGACCTTAAGAAGTGATTCACACCAGACATCCCAAGAATATTCATGAACTGAAACCGCTTTGAAGGAGTTTCTCCGGACCGTTGTGTAGGTCTGATCTGCAACTACAGGAAACGTTTGGTTGAGGTTATTGCCAAAGGAGGGTCAAGCAGTTATTTAATCCAAGGGTTCACATACTTTTTCCACCCTGCACTGTGAAGGGGAATAAATCGTACTTCTCCTTTTAACCTCTCTGGGTAACTTAGCGACTTTAACTATTAGAAGTACCCCATGAACAGCATTTGACCATATCTTGGAAAAATACAGCAAAAAAAAAGCTAGAAAACAACGCCTTTTGCATACGAGTCAGTGGAGGGCAACCATGAAAGTGTTGGACCTCAGTTAGAGCGAGTCCTATACTGCACTGTTATTTTCACTGTGAGTCTTTGTTATGGCTTCATGTCGTTTATCCCGGCCCTGCTGCAGGACAAGCTCTCTCAGCTGAACATGCCTGACTCCACCTGCGGGTGGATCACAGACTTCCTGACAGACAGGAAGCAGCACATGAAGATGGGAAAACATGTCTCTGACTCAAGGACCTCAGCACCGGTTACCCTCAAGGCTGTGTTCTTTCCCCTCTGATCTTCTTCCTGTATACCAACAGCTGCACCTCCAGTCACCAGTCCGTCAAACTCCTGAAGTCTGCGAATGACACCACCCTCACTGGGCTCATCTCTGGTGGCGATGAGTCTGCCTACAGGTGGGAGATTGACCAGAACAGTCTGGAGCTCAACGCTCTGAAAACAGTGCAGATGGTAGTGGACTTCAGGAAGAGCCCAGCCCCACCCTCCCCCATCATCCTGTGTGACTCCCCCGTCACCACTGTGGACTCCTTCTGCTTCCTGGGCACCATCATCTCCCAAGACCTCAAGTGGGAGCTGAACATCATCTCCATCACCAAAAAGGCCCAGCAGAGGATATACTTCCTCCGCCATCATTGAGTCCATCCTCACCTCCTCCATCACCATCTGGAACGCTGCTGCCACTGCCAGGGACAAGGGCAGACTGCAGCGTATCATTCGCTCTGCAGAGAAGGTGATTGACTGCAATCTTCCATCACTTCAGGACCTGTATGCCTCCAGGACTCTGAGGCAAGCAGGAAAGATTGCAGCTGACCCCTCCCATCCCAGACACAAACTGTTTCACTCTCTCCCCTCTGGCAAAAGGTTGCGGTCAATCAGGACCAAAACCTCTCGCCACAAAAACAGCTTCTACCCGTCTGCAGCTAGCCTCATGAACAAGGCCGGGTCCCTCACTCCCCCCTTTCAAATAATACGTTTCTCCACATGAATATATCACTTCATTTCATATCATGCACAAACCTGGTACACTGCACATATTTGTTGTTAATTGTTGTTGTTTTATTGTTATTTCACTTTTTTTATATTGTCAATTTATATATTTATGTACACAATATCCTCTTCCGTTGCAATACGTCTGCACAACACAAACTGGAGTAGCCTTATGCACAATGCCACATTGTTCTTTCTCTGCTTCTCTATTATTTTTCTCTATTCTCTCTCTTTAATATTCTTATTTAACTTGCATTGTTTATTCCATTTTTATATATTTCTACATCTATTTATGTCAACTGTATGTTTGTCTACATGTAGCACCTTATCACCAAAGCAAATTCCTCGTATGTGTAAAACACTACTTGGCAATAAAGCTCCTTCTGATTCTGATGTAGTTTGTCGCCTGTACACCCGTTGATGAAGGGACTAACTCTGTCTCTGTCCTCTCAAGGTCGGTCCCTCAGTGTGAATGTTTCATCCTCCTCCTTCCCCTCATCCACGGTTCTCCTCCTCTCCCCCGGTAACACGCTGACCCTCCTCTGCTCCGTCGGCGCCGACAACCTGCCCACCCTATCCCTGGAAGTGACCTGGATGGCTGACGGCCATGAGATCATCACCATGGAGCACAGCGGGGTGGTGATCTCAAACCCTACCTTGAGCAGCTCGCAAGGAAAACGAGGGCAGGCAACCTTGGAGCGGACGGGAGCTGGAGAATACAGGCTGGGGGTGAGGGAGGTGAGTCGGGAGGACGGAGGGGCGTACACCTGCCGCATCCGAGCCTTCATTGAGAAAGGAGGAAGGAGGTGGTACATGGCGGCCGAGAAAACTTCCAGCCCTCTGACTGTGAATGTGTCGCAGATCAGTGAGTGAAACAACTTCATGTTTTTTTAATGCTTCTTTAAGATGATCAGATCATTAATATAAATGTAAATATGGTGCAAAATGCAAGAGCTTGTAGACTTGATGTGAGCACTTGTAGAATACGATGTGAAAACTAAAATCTGAACTTGTTAATGTTAAGATTTTCACTTGTTTCAATACACCTTTGTTCTGAATGTGAAGTCACAAAAATATTCACAAATGTGTACATTGATTTTTACATAAATACAATGACCTCTCAAACATGTAATGCAGAATTTACATCATTTACATTTTATCTGCTTGGTCTAGAGATGGTCTGTGCCAAGTTTGGTAACGATCGGACTTACGGCTTTGGAGGAGTTAACTGAAATAGGTTTTTCAGATTTTGCAAAAATGAAACGTCATCACACAGACGCGTGTCTTATACCATACGAATCAGCAGTATCCCCCAAACATATAAGTTAAGAACATATAAGGTTTATGAATGTGCGATGTACTAGGGCTGGGCAATAAAACAATAATGATAATTATTGCAATATAATTTTCCTCTATCAATATAATAAATGTTCAATATATCGTCAATAAATATTTAGTTTTCATATTTGTTAAATTTTTTTATCATAATAGTTTTTAATGTTCTTCCTCAGATTTGTTAAGTGATCCACTGTTTGGCATCAAGTGTTTGTCCCATTCTGACCATAAAGAAAAGTTCTACCCAGGGACGTGCACAGGAATTTTGAAGGGCAGTTGCTCTGACCTGAAAAAAGGCACTAAACACAGTATCCAAAATGTATTAACAATATAAATGTCACCAAAATACATATGAGAAAAAGAGTTCCTTATATTATTGTTTATTGTTTTTTTTAATCATTATTATTTTTTTTTTTTTTCCTTTTTTTTTTTTTTTGAAAATAAATAATCTAGATTGAATTGACAGATGGGGAAAACTCGCTTCTAATAAAATATTAAATTAAAAAAACGCTTAGATTTCGGAAAAAAATACAATCCTTTTTTAACCTTTTGGCTTCCCGTACATTCAGTTGCGCTTCTAGCTCGTATTCACTTCTGTTGGTACGTATCACGTATGGTAACTGGGCAAAACTACGCATGATTTGTTGTAGTATGATTGCATAAAGGAAGGAAACAGGAATTCCGGTAGGGAACAGAATCGACTGACGTGCAGGCAGCGCTGCAGCAGTGCAGCCACTTAAACAGAGTTTGCCCTTCCCCTACTGACTTTCACTTTCGGTGCCCGAATGGAAGTGAATGAGGCTTTGCGATCGCGATTATTTTTTTTTCTCGGAAGGGCAACTTGAGTCAGGAAAGGCAAACGGGCAGTTGCCCGGGCAACCAGAGCAACCCCCCTGTGCACGTCCCTGGTTCTACCACATAATTAACCATCTGGTTTCTTCAATTTCCAGTCAGGAGCAAAAATCTGCCTTTAAATTTGAAAGAAATAACAATTTGACAATTAAATAATTATCAATATCAAATTATATGGAATTTTTTCATTGTGATAACAGTTTTGGCCATATCGCCCAGCCCTACGATGTACTTTGCAGTAGTTATGAGATTTTTTGAAATTGCAAGTGAGAAATGTCTAGAAATTTACATTTGTTGTAACAAGCCACGCACACTTTGAGCAATCATTACTATATTTTATGCATCCAGTAACCCTGGATTGTACAAACCAAATTTTGTACGAATCCATGAAGCGAATTACGAGGTGTAAACATTTTTGAAGTGTTGTGCCTCCTAGTAGAAGAACATCCCAGGACTGGCCAGCAAAGCTTGGGCCGAGCATCTAAACAGACTCGTCAAGTATGGTTACAATGGTTTAGGCCAATATTGATTTATGGGCATTTATGTAAAATTGTACATAAAGACACAATAGTAAAAATTTATGAAAAAACATTTGTCGCACAATGTGACATTTTTTTTAAAATGATGAAATAAGTTTGACTCTAAACGAGGCCGTTTTCGAGACAATTGCAAAAACGTAAAGTTGATTGTTATAGCGCCAACATGAGATTTATGAGTGCCATTTTTTTGCCTGCGTAGAGGGTGGAAAGAAAGATAATGAGAACAAAACAAATAGGGCCCTAATGTAAATTTAGGAATTATTATACAAATGTTCCTGTCTGACCACATTTCATATGTCTTAAATCTGCGTGACATTATCCAACTTTGCATTAGATTCAATTGAACATATGATACAGTAGCATATGTTGTATGCTACTAAATCTTTAGTTTATGTTAATATACAGTATATTAAACTGTAAAAACTGATCGGTGTTATCAAGCATTTTGTGTTTAAATTAAATTTGAATGAAAGAAACTGACTTTAAAAAGAAAAATTACAATGTCAACATAGTTTGAGGAATCCCGTTTCTAAATGCATTTTTTCCTTCATGTTTATACAAATACAATAACATCAGAAAAGAAACTAACTATTCAGATTGCCCCTGTTGGTGTTTCTTAAATACCATACAGTTGTGTTCATAATAATAGCAGTCCAACATTTTGTTTTTGGTAAAAATTATATTCCTACATGGCAAATACTTTAGTAGTAGGTGTAGCAGAGTAATAGAAAACCAACAGACCCAATAGTCATGGCATGCATGCTGCTGATTCTGTGTAATTAAATCATTAATTGAAAATAATAGCAGTGTGGAGTTCAATTAGTGAGGTCATTCATTCTGTGAAAAAACAGGTTTCAAACAGATGGCCTTTAATTAAGGAAAAGGCGGCAAATGTTGTACTTGCTGTGTGTAATACAATTCTCTCTGACAATCGGTATAAAATGGGTTATTCCAGGCATTGCTCAGAGGAACAGCGTACCTTGATTAAAAAGTTGATTGGATTGTGGAAAACATATAAAGAAGTGCAGAAAATAGTTTCCTTCAAATCTACAATAATCTCAAATGCATTAAAATGGCAACCAAAACCAGAAAGACGTGGAAGAAAACAGAAAACTACCATTCAGGTGGATCGAAGAATATCCAAAAAGGCTCGATGATCAGCTCCAGGGAGATCAAAGGTCTAAAGTTATCTGTGAGAACTGTAAAAATTAGAAGATGCCCATGCGAAGCCAAGCTATCGGCAAGAAGCCCCCACAAAGTCCCACTGTTGCAAAAACGACATGTGCTGAAGAGGTTACAATTTGCCAAAGAGCACAGTCACTGGCCTAAAGAGAAATGGCGCAACATTTTGTGGACTGATGAATGCAAGATTGTTGTTTTTGGGTCTAGGGGCCACAGACAGGTTGTCACACAACCCCCTAACACTGAATTCAAGCCACAGTACACTGTGAAGACAGTGAAGCATGGTGGCGCAAGCACCATGATATGGGGTTTTTTCTCATACTATGGAGTCAGGCCTGAAGTTAGTCGACTCCATGCAACACAGATGTAAAGCAGTTCTCAGAAACAGTGGTCATACAACTAAATATTAGTTCAGTGATTCACAGGAAAGCTAAATATTCAAGCATTTTTACAGTTTATACTGTCAATGTTGGATGAAAAATGATGAAAAATACTGACATTGCTATTTACAGCCTAATATTCCCTTTTCCTCACTTTGTGTTAAGTAATGACAAATTTGATGAATATTTCTTCATGTTTTGATGTGGAATAGAATCTGCAGTTTTTCCAATGCATGTGGATGTAAATAAAAGCTATTAAGGATTAAAGGATTTAGTTTTTCAACATACTGCAATTGTTTTGAACACAACTGTATGTATTTTCTCCTTAGTTTGAAATCAAAACCTTTTAAATCTATTGTTTGTTTGCATGCACAACTTGAATGCCATTGTGACTGTTTGTTTTCAGTGGCAATAATTCCCCCTGCAACCTCATCAAATCAGACAGCTTTGTTGACCATTGCTGCGGCTCTCTCTTTGGATGTGCTGCTTTTGCTGCTGATGCTCACCACATATTTTGTGTACACACGTAAGAGAGCTCTTCAACACCATAAAACACCTTCAGTCACACACAAACAGACATTTGGGCAGCTATGTTTTGCTACGTGTAAAAACTAATGGGAAACAAAATCTGGAACAACTTAAGAGAACAAATATATATTACAGCCTATCATGTAATATATTTTAAAGAAGTGGTATTATTCTCATTTTCAGGTTCAAAATCCTATTTAGGGGTTGTACCAGAACAGGTATACATGGTTTCATTTTCAAAAAACACCATATTTTTTGTCATACTGCACATTGCTGCAGCTCCTCTTTCACCCTGTGTTGAAGGCTTCATTTTACCGATGGAGTGATACATCCAGTCTCTAAATGATCTTTGTTTGGAGTTGCACATGCGCAGTTCCTAGTTAAAGACTACTAGCCAATCAGAAGCAGAGAAGGGCAGGTCAGCGAAAAGACGGTAAACAGTTTCGCTTCAGCTGTAGGCTACATGTTGCGGGACCAGCTTGGCAATTTGAACTGGAGCATGAGTTTCAGAGTGGTGAGTTATTAATCTGTAACAAAAGTATCTTTCATCCATACAGTTTTAACTGAGCTCTGTCTCTACATCACAGTAACAACTTTATGTCCATTGACTGCTTGGAGGGTAGCTAGTGTTTGGAAGGGAGAGGAGAGGTGTGCTGCAGTCATAGGCTGAGGGCATGTCGGACTAGTCGCTCAGCGAGCATTATGGCACTATTTTCATTGTGATGTCACAAGAAAGGGAAGTAAAGGCTGGACTACAAACAAGCTGTTTTCAGGCAGTTCAGAGCAGTGTTTTCTGTGGGAGATGGAAAATCCCTTTGTGGTGGACTTTGGGCTTTTTCACTTTGCAAACCTATTACATGCACAAAAAAAGATATATAACTCAATAAAGGAGAGGGATAAACCATAATACCACCTCTTTAAAAGATGATTCCCATTATAGTTTCTGGCAGACAGAAACCAGTATTTGTATGCTGGCTTTCAGTTATCTCATTAACAACATTTCTTACACTACTTATCCGTTCAAAGACACACCAAACTCCACAACATTATCTTTAACTTATCTTTTACGAATGCTAAAGGTAATGTACTATGGAGGAACTATTGGCTGCCATTTTAGCATTATAACGTTCTATTACAAAATGCAAAACTTTCTATCATTTTATCTGAAGTATGGCTTGTTAAACTAGTTATTCCAAACTGGTCTAGCTCATGACATAATGCTGTAATAATTTTGATAGATTTTTCACACATAGTATTGGCCAAACGTCCCCCCTGTTACAAGCCATTTTCATTTCTATAATAACTTGTTTTTAATGCACAGTTATTGTAATATTTTACATTTCATTTACATTTTCTAAGTGCGAAAATGTCCCTCACCCTACCCAGCATATGTATTTTAAGAAACTATTAATAAACAAGCATTATCTCAAAAAGGACATGTTTTATTCTAAGTCATAATGTAATTTCAAAACATAGACTTTAGAACAATTAGAATAACATTTGAATTTGGCCCCATTTATAACTTTTATATTTATAAATTTAATATAAAATAACACATGGGTGGACATCACACCAGTGAACAACAATGCCTTTAATTATTAAAGAAAGGCAACTCGTGACAAATACATGCAAATATTTTAAACTTATATTTTAATATTTGACAAATAAATGCATAATAAAATAATATATACCAATACATGCTCCAAACATTTATTCATCTATGTTGACCTCTTACATCCACCCTATTACTTAGTGTTACTGTGCAAAACAGTAACAGGGTGGACATTTTACGCTAAAGTTTGCCATTATTGCTAATGTGATGAACAACAGAACACAGGAAGATTTTAAAGGTAAAAGTACCATAAATAAACACAACATAGAGACATTTAATTGCGGCCTGATTATCCTTAGAACTGAAATAATACTAGTACCTTTTTCTCTTTATTTAAATTCCTGTAAAATTATCCTCCATCATAATGTAGCAATAGTTTTTAAGACTACTTAACTGAAGTGAATACTGTACCTTTATAGAAACTGCTCATTTATTTTACTAGAATATAATTTTGCTCTCTTCCCTTTCTCACTTTGTCTGACAGGATTCGCATGTTGTAAGAATACAAGGACAGGAGCATGAAGGAAAAGCAAAGAAGAGGAAAAGAAGTAAGAGAGACGTACCAAAAAGCAATGTTTCCACTAGTTTACTTATGCTAGTGTTATAAAATAACAGTATCCACATTTATCTTTTAATTTGTTATCTAAAGTAATAGATAATTCTGCATATTCTGGTATTTTTCTCTTATAACAGCCAGAATATCAGGTGTACCCTCGACATTGTAGGGATTGTGGCTGCTGGACTGGCCGTTAAACTTGAGACCTTAGCATTAGCTAACTAGCATCAAACATGGCTGCAACCAGAGAAGAAAAGAAGCAATAGAGTCATCTTTTGCTGGCAAAATTCATGGCATTTTAATCACTTCAAAAATGATATAGTATTTTCGACAGTGCTGCGTTGTTCTTATCTTTTCTCATTTCAGTTCTCATATATTTCATTTAATTTCAGTAAAGACCTGAGACCTACACTTAGCTTTAAGATAACGTGTTGGTTAAGCTAATCTTTGTTAATCTTAAATATTAAGTTTCCATCCATCCTAAATTGAGCTTATTGTTTCCTCCATTTTTTTCCGAATCTTGGACACACTTGTTTGGGGATGATGATTATTATCTTTTGTATTTTTTTTTTTCTCGGTTGTTTGTTTTTGTTTATCTGAAAGTTCACTGAGTAAGAAACCTGGATTTGGTTTATGTAACAAAGTAGACCTAACCATCGGTGGACACTAAGTACCGCTACATATGGGGTATTGTAAATTGGCTCCCGGCTGACTAGAAAATTAAAATGATGTCACTTTTATTTAAGCAAAATACATTTAAAAAAAATATTTTTTTGTAGCTAATGGAGTATTTATGGAGTATCATACTGTACTATCGCCACTTTTCATCAAGTACAGATCAGAATCCTCAGTTATCCCGTTTCTGTGCAAGTAATCCAGCTTGCATGTATTGTTCTAATAGTCCAGCTGGGTACTTCTTATTTCTACTGGTACTTGTGTGTACGTACACATATTTAATGTCTTTCATTTCGTTGCTGATGATATCTCACTCTAACTTTAAATAACAGGAAATTCACCCTCAAGCTTTAGTTGAATTGTGTCACAAATGATTTAACTGAGATGAACGGTTGTGTATCAGATCACAATCCTAGTTGGTTTTTGCCTTCGTTGTTATGACTGTATTTTCTTGTGTAATGCAACTTTGCTCATCACTGCACCAATTTATTTGTGTTGGGTAATGTGGCCTGTTTTTTAAAGACTGAAGAAGATACTCAAGATGTGCATTTGTTATAAGATATTTTTCATAATTGTAATATCCCTTTTTAATTTTTGCACTTTACATTACAATACATTGCTTATGTGCCACTGGTGTGGCACATGTATTACTCCATTTCATGCATTGTTTGATATGCTTATTCTGATATTAATTGTCTCTCAACTCAAAGTGCCACATGTGACACTCTCATTATTGCATTTCTTTCTCGCAGTTTTTGTGTAATTTGTAAAATAATAATTTAAAAAACAATTTGCTGGGAAAATGTAACACAAATTGTGTTAACTCCAATGTTATAGCTCAAATTAAGCAATTTTGCCAAAAAATATAAATATGCTCAATTGTACTTTGAGTTAATAAAATGAAATGGGGACATTTTTAAAACTTGGCCAAGTGGAAAACCTTGCTCTCAAAGACACATATACAGATCAATGTGTCACTTAGTGCTCAACACTTGCCTAAAAAATAATCTAAATGTGGTATTCTGTCTTGCCCACATTTCCTTCCTGAGTAAAAGATAAAGATGTTTATGGTAATGTTATGTTCATGTTAGATAATTGGTGTGAGAGCTCTGTTAAAACTTCCAAGTTCTTATTCAGTGAATTGCAACGCCATTGAGCTTCTTAATACTTTATTATGCATTTCATTTCAGCTCGTCTGCATTTTCTCTAATGTTTTCCAAGTTTTTGTGAATTTCAGCTCTTTTATGCAATTGAATTAAAGTCTTTTGCATTTCCTGCAGTGTTTTGCAAGTTCATTTCAGCTTCTAGTTTAGTTGTCTTCACTCTTTATTATTATATATAACCCATTTTCCAGCTTCAAAATGTACATCCTGTTCAGGAGATTTATGCTATTACGTTCATTGCTGATATGTGTAATGGTAAATGGAAGAAAATGAATAGGTTTCATTGGGAGTAGAGGCTCAACTTTCTTCCAACATACTCAACTTTAAGAGCTCCGGCATATGTGCAGCTACAGACTCCATTTGAGTTGCAGAAAAGATGTTGATCTTTCAAAGTTGTATGTGGTGTTTGCTAAAAAAAAAAAGCTTAGTTAAGGATCTGTGTCCTTCCAAAGTGAAGGGTTTTACAGCTTTTAGCATACTTTACCAATGTGTCATGTGGTCGCTTAGAGTGGAGACAGGAGGATATGGTAGACCAGATGTTTTTTTTGTAAACTGCTGCCAGTCATGTATATTTATCTCCATAAGCAACAAAGGATGAAATTGTGTCCTTACTAGCAAGTTGTTTGGTAGTTCAGTTGGTTGAGCAAATGTCTCTGGAGGAGCATCTCTTATTCTAGTTGTGGGTTTGAATCCCACAGGCGGCAACAGTGATAATTGGTTTCAACTTTAAACACCTGTTTGGTGTTTGAACTTAATGATACCAACAAACAAAAGATATTTCCTAACTAAAAAATCCAAAATGACAGTTGAAAAGCTGTTATTAAGGCAAATGCACATTTTGATCAACAAAGCATCAAATTGTGAGCTTTGTTACAGCTACTTCGTGATAGCTCAGTGCATAGTGTGTTGGTCTTAAGAGCAACAGTTATCTTTGCAGACCTGGGTTTGATTCCACTGTTAATTGGTCACAGCTGCATGGTGTTTGAACTCATTTATGTCAACATAATGTTTAATTCCCAGTGACTTGCTGTGGTTGTTAGTACATTTTTTATATTGTTGCTCTTTTGAAAAATGAAATGAAAAAACATTTTTCAGAAGATTAGTCGCTTTCTGTGCCTTCATGTTATTTCGCAACAGTGGACTAGATGTCACAGAAAATTTATTTTACAGCAACACTGTGCTGTAGCAGGCATTTGTTGTCATAGATTGCCCTCTATTGGTGTTTTGGGGCATTACATGTTCATGTACACAATGAAAGGATAATTAATAACACACCACAAGCTTTATGTCTTAATAGTCTAGTGGTTACAGCATTGCCCTGCAGATCCAACAATAGATGGTTTGAATCCAGGGCAGGGCATGTTGACTGCAATACTGAACTGAGGAAATATTTCTGCAAATACATCTAATTTTTGACAGCCTAAATGTTCTCGAAAACTTACAAAACTTTTCACACACACAAGGCAGGTCAACAACCAACAGGAAGTCGGTAAATTTTTATTTAATTGTCATATTTGCCGATTTACCCACTCCACATGACAATGAACTCCTCCTAGAGAATAAGTCAGATTGTTTTCATATTTTTGTTGTGCAGTCTTATACCTTCAATGATTACACATTGTACAAATGGTGAGTTTTGGTCGACCGGGGCAGCCCGTGTCCTGGAGTGGAGTATCAATGATTCGCCACGAAACAGGAAGTTGTTATAACTTAAGTGTACATTCTCACATCTGTACCAAACTTTATGTGATTGATGATGGTCCCATCCCCAACACATCTTCAAAATTCACTTATAGTTGTAGCGCCACCTACTGGCAACAGGAAGTAAGCCCTGTGTGACACTCATCATGCGATTAAAAGAAATTTTCTCAATGTGTTTTGCACATGATGTAATGGGACATAAGGTATTGTTGCTGGGTGCTCCTTTGCACCACATAGAGGACACCGGAAGTGACTTAAGTATTTCATGCAGCGTCCAAAGTGCATGACAATTCATAGCAACACTATCTGATGCGCTTCACATGCAAGGGCCCGTCCAACACTGATTGCTGTTTTAATATTTAACTGCATTAGTCTGTGGCATGTGATTCTTCATGTGGAGGGGTTGCTATAGACTGAATGAATAATGGTACAGATATTTAAAGTAGTGTTAATGATAATAATCGTAATGTTAATGATTATAATAACAACAATAATAATGGGACTAGTAATAATTGTAGCAGAGGGTGTCGAGCAGGAACACGGGGGCAGCAGGTGACGTGCAACCCCAGATCCAGACTCCACAGCTCCAGAGCAGAAACACCTGCAGGAAGTGATAGGAGGAGAGAGGAGAGGGACGAGAAAGCACAAGACTGCCGGAAAGGGGAGAAGTCGAGTTAGTAACATACAGAAAGAGGGACAGAAAGGAGAGAGGACCCCCCCCCCCCCCCCCCCCGCAGTCTAGGCCTATAGCAGCATAACTAAGGGATGGTTCAGGACTCACCTGTGCCAGCCCTAACTATAAGCTTTATCAAAGAGTAAAGTCTTAAGCCTACTCTTAAATTTGGAGATGGTGTCTCCCTCCTGAACCCAAACTGGAACCTGGTTCCACAGGAGGGGAGTTTGATAGTTGAACGCTCTGGCTCCCATTCTACTTTTGGAGACTCTAGGAACCACAAGTAACCCTGCATTCTGGGAGCACAGTGCTCTGGTGGGGTAGTAAGGTACTATGAGCTCTTTAAGATAAGATGGTGCCTGACCATTAAGAGCTTTGTAGGTGAGATTCTGGATTTTACTGGAAGCCAATGCAAAGAAGCTAAGACAGGAGAAATGTGATCTCTTTTCCTAGTTCCTGTCAGAACACATGCTGCAGCATTCTGGATCAGCTGAAGAGTCTTAATGGACTTTTTCAAGCAGCCTGATAATAAGGAATTTCAGTAATCCAGCCTAGAAGTAACAAATGCATGGACTAGTTTTCTGCATCATTTTAAGACAGGATGTTCCTGATTTTTGCAATATTACGTAATATTACATTTGGCAGACTACAGGTCCATAATAAAAGACACAGGCCGGGCAGCAAGCGTGATATTTTAAAGTGATCTTATCAGTATCTTCATGTAGATTTAAAAAGGAAAATAAGTGTACTGAACAGAAATAGCTAAATTACAGATAACTGACAAGCAAAGTAAATTGTATTCCCTACAAGTAACCATGTTGCACAGACTGATGATGACACGGCTTATTAATTTATTGTACTCAAGGGCTCAGCTGAGGGGATTATTTTACTTTAGGAGAGTTAGAGAGGTGTTTCTAGTTTTGAAAATGTATTTTAATGGCTCATTTAGTTATGTAATCTACTTTCTTAAGCAAACATTAATTAAACCACCTATTTCTCAAGATTTCTCATTTGTTTGCCCCGGTTTCCTCAGCCTTAAAAAACTTGCGTCCTGAGGTGTGTATGTCACTGCTAAGTGTCCATAAACAATTTAAAACCACCCTCCCCTGTCTATACTCCATCTTTTGTCACTGCAAATACCCTCTTTCAAACACACTAATAAGTAAATTCTGTTCTGCAAAAGTCATAAGAAAAATAAGTGTTTAAGTGCTTTATTTCACCTAAAAAATGTAAGTCCCCTCCAGGTTCATAGTCGCTCAGCTCCATGGACAGCACCCCCCCAGGAGCTTGGTAACAACGTAAATATGGAATACTGTGCAGGCTGTGTGCGATATGTTGCAGCCTAAAATACCTAACAGAGGTTTGTGAGGCTCGTAGCCTGTGTGCACATTTAAAACACCTCGTCCCACACTGAGAGAGAGACTTTGGGAAGTAACTTTACTCTTTATGTCCATATAAAACACTAAGGAATTATTACTCTACACATCCTTAACAACAACAGCTTTTGTAGAAATCTGCTCCAACGTGGTTAAATGTTGATCAAACATGAATATGACTTAAGCTTTAAATACTGAGTTTACTAAATAGAGACTTGAATACTGTAAATTTTGGACATATGTGAGTATTTGCATTTGATGCGTCTTTGTACTTTTACTACTATTGTACTGAAGTAAAAGTAACTGCAAAAGATTAAATCTGTGCAGCTAACATGACGTCTTCTATTCTTGGATAAGTAAGCACCGTATAACGTGTGCATCAAATGTCCAGTAGGTGGAGATATTTCACCAGTTATAATACAGTTTGCTGTTCAGTTGAGGCCTGATCCTGGATCAGAAGAGTCCAAACACAGCAGATAGAAGGAAAAAAGGTTATGCTGAGTTATTTTCCATTTACATATTCCAGCAGAAAGATCTCGTACATACATTTCCCCCTCGTCCTCTACGTCTCTAAATCTTTACATGAACCCGTTTATAAACTCTGTGCAGCTGAATCCCTGAGAAGTTTGTGATAAACACTTAAATATCTGATTGAATTATTAGAAACCATAGAGATAATGCATGCATCACCTGTTGATTTGTCTTCAGATCAACCCGAGATGTTCACCGAGGAAGGGGTTGGCCTCACAGAGGAACTCAATCATCTCTGAACTAGCAGCTTCACCTTTCTTCCTCACTGAGTCGATAACAAAACGAGCTTTGTCTCTTCTGTTCTGCATCTCGTCTGCTGACTCCCTCTCAGCTTCAGCTATCACCGTTTTCTCAGTTTGTCCAGCAGACTTTTGAGAACCGGTCCTGATATCCCCTCGATGAAGCTGCTCCGTATGTCCAACAGCCTCTTATCTGAAGAGAGCCTGAACTATCCAGTTGCTGATAGTGTGTTTAGAAGCGGGGAGCCCAGCCTTGGGGGACCCAAAACACACCAGCAACTGGTCTGCTTTCCTCCACCGGGAGGACCTCAGAGTGTAAATACTCAATGCTCTGACAGGGCAGAGCAGATGAAGTCTCCCGTCCTCCGCCGTCACATGAGGTGGGGGATGAAACGCCTGCAGCACCGTAGACCCTGCCATACTGGACGGCACCTTAGGGACATAACCTGGACAGATGTGCAGCCTTGACCTTCCCTGGGGCAAACTCCAGGCATTGAGGAGAAACCGAAAGTGCTTGGAGATACCCCACTCTCCTCAGAGAGGTGATAGCTAGGAGAAAGGCCATCTTAAGGGTCAGGTGCTTGGCCTCAGCTGAC